TGACATGGAAATGTGTGGTCATGTTGTGCCGCTTGTGTGTCTCATTTATGATTTAAGACCCGTTTACCGTTCCAACAGTGGCTTTTACTAAAGCTCCCAATCACCTGAATCAATTGGTTCTGTCATGCTTCTTCAAAGCAACCACTTCAAAGCCCTCATCTCTTCTCTCCTCCCACTCTTCATATCCTTTCATCCAGAGGCGGAGCAGAAACACAGGGCCATAAGACATCATATATATGTAAACAGTATAATGCTTTATAGAGGTCTTCCCCAGTATGTGCTGGTGTGATTTTAAACACTGCAGTTTATAGGCCTTTTAAGCTGGAAACTATTTTGTATGAGTCTTTTTTTTCCAAAACTGCAACATAGATTTAGTCGATCGGTCAACATAAACACATCAACATCCAGTTTGCTTCCACCTTTGTTCTGTTTTGTTTGATCTACTTATTTATTTGTATTCTTCCTTCTTTGCTTTTGTATGTCTTGCTAATAGACTTGAAATCATAAGGAAGGACAAAGTGGCAACAATGGCATAGTGAAACATACTTGAAAGTGTTTATTGAAAACACAAAGAGACGCCTAACACTGTAGGTTTGAGAACTTGCAAATAATGATTATTTGATGTGTGTGACATTTGTCAGACATGCTGATGGTGTTATTCTTGGACAAAGAAACACACCCAGCTTTTTCCTCCTGTGCCTGTTCTCTCTCTCCGTCAATCTCCCCCCACCCCTGAAAGCTCAGACCTGAAGAGACGCTTAAATTCATCTTTAATATCTTCCTGTCCTGCCCTCTTTCCATCTGCCGTTTATTCCCTCCTCCTGGGACCGTGTTGGTGCTGCTGGGTCAGAGTTCACTGAATGTTATTAGCTTTTAGGGAAAGTGCCCTGCTCTCCTCCCTTGTTTACAACTGCTCCAACATGAACATTCATCATAACGTGACATGGAAAAATTGTGAGGTGAAAGGTTGCTGAAACTTGCTGATGTTATATCAAGGGATACAACTTGTAATTATCAGTTAGTAACAGTATTACTGCAATAGTCATATACTACTGATATGTTCTTAAATTGTCTCCTTTTGACATCAGTCAGAGGTCAGGGTAAGCTACAGAACAGCGACTAAACAGATACGCTCAGTATCCTGATTGCTTAAGGATACTCCTGCAGAGCACATACTCCCTTTTTACTAGAGCACCTTGAATTAAACCAATACCCACATTGAAATTGTTGTCTTGACATTATGCTTTCTACTATTTTAACGCATACATTTTGACAATCATTGCACATTTAAAGTACAATATCAAATGGAAATGTTTAGGTTTACACATTTCTCCTATTGTGAATAATTTGTTTGTAGTAATCTTGCCATGACTGATGCACAGACGCATTTCACCCTGCACCTATGTGACCCCTCTCTCCACTGCACACATACCAAAACCAGAGGAAGCAGCTGTATAGTGTGTATCAGAGCAGATAGTGAAGGGAGAGCACGCTAACATTTCCTGATGAAACGGCCACCTTCTCTCTTTCTGTGGCCAACAATAACTCCATTGGCACACCTAATACAAAAGGGATAGAGAAGCAGGCCACAGGGGGGAATAACTGGGCATGTTATTGAGTTTATCTGGACATATAGGTATGACTGTGGCCTTGACTAAACACCAGACACTTTTCCAAAGCATCACCCTGTTCAAAACACAATTAGCACAGGGATCACAAGATGCATTTCCTCGCAGGCAGTACACAAGCTTGCTCGCTTGGCAGCAATATGTGTTTGGAATCCCAGGAATGTTGTTTTGAAAGGAACCAATTCAGCTCCTATGCCAATGTATTGCAGGTCTGGCCCCGTATTAGGAGAGCACTTTGCCAACATTATTCTGGGACAGAACTGTTACGTAGGAAGTGATGCTGTTGGTGCAGTGGGTGTAGGAATATTCTCACTCATGGGATGCAGATGATGCATGCGGGGTTAGACCCTGGCAGATACATTGGCAAGCTGACATTAGCTGACCTGGGAATTGGCCGTCACCACCCTCCTTCAGGCTAAAAAGATACAAAAAATGTGTGACAAGGTAGCAAATCAAACATGGTATGTTGCTAAACAAAGACACTCAGTCATTATGACTCAATGGTGGCTGAAGATAACACGTCTCTGCATACAGCTTTACCTCCAGTGAAGATCTCAAGGGGTGAACACTTGATGGGTGTCTGTGAAGTGTGACATTGCTAAAACAGAGCCTACATTTAAAGTAAAAATACATTGAGTTAATAAATGCTAAAGACCATTTAATGAACAAAGCTATTACTGAGTATCTGAAGAAGGTGAAATATGATTCCATTAACTGCATACTGAAGCAAATGAATATCACTTCCTGAATGCATTCGTGAGATAGGGGGTGATTGTGGGTGACTGAGTGCATTCATGTGTGGTAAGGCCTTTTAGATCTGATCACGTGTGATTGATTGATGTTTCGGATGGTGCATTTAGACCCTGGCTGGCTCCAGAATCATTAGTGCTCTTAATGTCAATGATGATGAGCTTTGGAATACTCTTTTCACTCCGTCAATTATACTGTCATCATCATCTTAATCTATCTAGCCTAGGCATGTCTTTGAAACACATCTCTCCTCTATCCTCTCTCTCTCTCTCTCCCTCGCTCTCCTCTCTCTCTCCTCTCTTCTTTCTCATCTCCTCTCTCTCTCTCTCTCCTTCTCTCTCGCCTCGCTCCTCTCTCTCTCTCTCGATCCTCTCTCTCTCTCGTCTCTCTCTCGGTCTCTCTCTCTCTCTCTCAACTAGCACACAACACACAAACTTTCCCATTAGCCAAACACCATCTTTTACTTCTGAAATGATTGCATGCATCTTTCTGTCTGTCTCTGCACAGCTAATGATAATGAAGGTTGTGTGGTTTTCTGTGTGTATTTGTTCGTCTGTGTGTACTTCAGATTGTGCCCCCACGAGTGCAAATGTATTTTGTGTGCCTGCATGATATGATATGTCGTAGCACATAACTTAAGCAGACACTCAACCATTTCCAGACCTACAGCCAAATGACAGTTAGATCATTAAGCTCTAGCACTAATTTAGCATGAAGCCAGTAGATCTTCCCCTCTTGCTGTATTTGACCTTCACACTCCTGAAATGCCGATTAGAGGACGGGCATTTTTAATACTTGTCAGTGCCTAGGTTCTGCCAAAGCATTGGTGCATTTAGGCAATGACAACAAGAGACTCATAATGGTAATGAAATAATAATACTTATGAAAAGCTACTGTGATGCTAGAGTAGTGATGTTGCTTGAGCTGGCCAATGCGGTAAAAGCATGATTAAATATCCCGTATTGATCAGGCTATTCTTATGAAACTGGGAAAATGTTTAATATATGTATGAGCTGAAACCTGAAGAAAGCCATGCTCATTATCAATACAAAACAAATTCATTTTTTAGACATTTAGGTAATCAATAAATAAGCTGTGTAAAAAAAGGCTATTTACAAGAGTTAGTTCTTATAACCGATTACACGCTCAAATGAAACATAAATGATTACTCGACATTAACGACTGCCCGATGGCCCGGGGCCATCTAGTATTTAGCTCGGGCAATGAAGCCTCACCTGCTGGTTGCCCGATCGGGCAATCTATTATGCCAGTATCATGCAGCTCGCGGATCCAGTAATGAGTGAGCCCGACAGTAAAACTAAACATATCTATAACTAGTTACGGTAGTTTGAGAGGTCATTAAAATAGCTACGTGTGATATTCTAACCTGAAGTGTGTGTTTTGTCCGCTCACCGCTGCAGGTGATCATGCAGAGCTGCGTGTCGACTCGTCAGCAGCAGCTGATCTCTCTCTCCCGTCAGATTAGACTTCACTCGCGTTTATGTCCATATCGATCAGATCCAGCTAGTTCTAGATGATATGACTACCTGCTTATTAAAAGACACCTAAACAATAAGTGTCGCTATGCAACCGGGTGAGGCCACAAAGTATAGCGCAGCATTATGCATTTGTTTACATGCCCACCGGAACCCCGAGGCATTACCAACAGATCAACGCACAATCAACCCATCCAGGACATCTCTTTCTCCACATTAAGTGTTAGACATTAGAGTTGACTATTCTTGTCTGTCACATACTCTTCTTGTCTGTCACATAAGTGGCGCAACTGAAGAGTATTGCGTACTCTGACGTCGCCATTTTGTGTACTTCGCGGATGCGCTCGGCTCCTCTCGACTGCTGCTCGGGTCTGCTCGGTCAGCTTCCGGATGAGGAGGCATTCGTTCGACCAACTTACAGTAGATAACATTACAAACATTTTAGTGTAAATAATGTTTGTTTTGGCAGTTATAACTAAATGTAATGTTTTCTACTTTTTTACATCTGGGAAGGCATTTGCCTTCATCAGATGGAAAGTGTCTTGACCAACAACTTAAGTGTTTCTTATAGCTATGCAGGGCATGCAAGCGAGCAAACACAAACAAGAACAAACAAACAAGTGAAATGAAGAATACAATTGAAATTGTACAATATAATATTGTGGTGGTTCATCTTATAATTCAGTCTAGAGAATGCACCAGACAGCATCTAAGACCTGCAAAAACCAAAATGTTCTAGGGGGAGGCCCCCCCAAACCCTTCGTGCCATTTCGTCCGCGCGCATTTTTCAGGGCAATCTCTATTGGGCTCAGGGCCATCTGTAAATTAGCTTAGATGGCCCACAGGGCCATCTCCCAAAATCCTTCATGTCATGCACTGGGTTTCTTCCAAACAAATGACCCGTGCTGCTTGCTTCCAAAAACACTAGGTGTATCTGCAGGTCCAGTTGGATGAGCCATTATCAATTGATAATATACTGGTCAGTATCAACCATATCAACTGACTCGCAAGATGTCAGAATACTAATACTGTCAGATCAAGCTAATTTGATATATTTTTCAAAACTATAAAATAACAAAGTTAGATATTAAGCATGTTAAATTCTTGTTTTTCTGTCTCTTTCCAGAGGGAGTGTGTGAGATCTGGTTGACCAGTGAAGACACAGGTGCCTACGGGAGAGACATAGGCACAGACCTGCCCACACTGCTGTGGAGACTGGTGGAGGAGATCCCTGAAGGAGCCATGCTGAGGCTGGGTATGACCAACCCACCGTATATCCTGGAACACCTAGAGGTATGTACAGTACATGTTGACCCATTTCAGCCAGAAGTACCATCAAACAGAATACATCACCACTGATAAATACAAACTAAAAATAATTAGGCACGGCTGAGTTTTGCTTTTCTTTGTTACCGTTTTGTTCTTGTCCCTTTGGTCTTATGTACTATCCCATTCTTCAAACTAATAATATTTCTTTGCCTAGATTTAATAAACGTAATGCCTGTCTGTTTTGCTTACCAAGCAGTTTAGCTGCAGCGCTCATACTGCACTCATTAGTGCAGTTCATTCTCTTCTCTCCCTAATGAGTCAATTACGGACCATTGTGTCCTCTTTAGCAACCTCATTTTATCAGCCATTATTGTCTTCCCTAATGGAACAATGGACATTGTTTTCTCTTCTCGCTCCCCATTTATCTTTTTACCCCCCTCTCTCTTTGTATGTTTGTCTCTGTCAGACATGCGTTTTCCATCATTTAAATTACTTTTTTTGTACTTATTGTTTCTTGAAGTGTTGGGTGACAACATGCTATTAGATTTGATCACAATGTTCCTCTAAAAATGTACAAAAGGCATGCCCAGTCTCTGCTTCTAGTCAACACATAAAGAGAAAAGAGAAAAGAAAACAACTAAACAGAAACCGCTATTTAAAAATGGCCTTAATTGTCCCAATTATTTTAGAGTTGTCTAAGATCAGCCTTGACACACACATTGAGCCTAGAGGATAGTAGAACTCTGTGACACGGAGGGTATGGGGACATGGGAGCTCATTTGCCCAATTGAAATGAATGTGCAAGATAACTTACTGAAACCTACATTTTATTCTGTAATTATATTGTTATTCTGTACAATTCCATGATTTAGAACTAAACTGAGGGTTGAGTTTTGCTAACGTTGAAGAGGGTTCAATGTTGGTCACTGGATCTGCAGCATATGTGTGTCTGCTCTATGAAAATGGACCTAAATGTAGCTCTTATTTCTCTTGTGTGGTGACATAGAATATTTGAACAACTGTCAACATATCATGGCTGAAAAGCACAACACTTATTGTTGCCACCGGACTCAGCAGTATGGCTGTAACTATGTACATTTGAGGCAACTTAAGCAGATAAGTAGAAAAGGATAATCACAAGAAAAGAGGGAAATTGAATACGACGATTTTAGGTGTATGTCAGGGGTTAGCTTCCTCTTTTTTGTCTTTGGTTTATTTGTCACAATCATTTTTAACCATCAAGTAATATCGTTTATCTTCCCTGTTAGGATTCACAGTCTCATATCTGAGGAAAATGGTTTGGAAAGAACAGAATAGGGGACAAAAAAAAGACTGCTAAGAGGGCTGATATAGGGTTATGGTAACCTATAAAACTACAATGAAACAAAACTTTCAGGTAACAAAAAGAAGAAGCCAGTCCAGTTCACAACAGATGTACTTTTGATTCCAACAATCTGTAGAGATTTCAAAGTCATAACTAAATGAAATGAGGGCAGAAATTGGGGATGAAGGCCCGGGGATAGAGAAGAGGGCTAAAAAGAAGTGGGAAAGTGCTGTGGGAAGCAGTGATGGTGGTTGTAATTAACCAGGGGTTAATGGAGGTGGCTAATTGTCCCCCACATGTATAGGTAGAGTTTCTGCTTGGCTACATTACAATTAAAAAAAAACACCCTCCTAATGATAGGGAATAACAATTAACTGATAATTAGAAATATACTAGGACGACACACTAGCTCTGTGTGTGTGTGTGTGTGTGTGTGTGTGTGTGTGTGTGTGTGTGTGTGTGTGTGTGTGTGTGTGTGTGTGTGTGTGTGTGTGTGTGTGTGTGTGTGTGTGTGTGTGTGTGTGTGTGTGTGTGTGTGTGTGTGTGTGTGTGTGTGTGTGTGTGTGTGTGTGTGTGTGTGTGTGTGTGTGTGTGTGTGTGTGTGTGTGTGTGTGCGTGTGCTAAGAATCATCTCATATGCTACCGGCCTTTTCACTCCTCACGTCCGTGCATTGAATTGAATTATATCTTTTTAAGCATTAATTCCTCAGTCAATTAACCTACATAAAGAAGATAAGGGTGCTTTACTTTTACTTATCATTGTCTTTTGTTGCTCCTGTCCCCCATTTACCCTTAATCATATCTTCTCTTTCCACTTCTCCCCTGCCTGCCCCTCTCTACACACCCCCCAACACACACTTTCCCTTTTTTTTTCTTTCTAGACCTACTTATAAACTTTCCATTCTGGCAATGGTTGTGAGCTCAATCATTAACCAAGAAACCTGCCATATTATCTTTTCAACAAGATGTTTTTAAAAGTTTCCTTTTTACTCTTCCTTGAGTCTGAGGTCTCATGTCTTCATCTTTAATGTTGCCTTTTTGTCCTCTCTGACACTTTTTACTCCCCTTTCTCCTTAACATATTGTATTTCTGTAATCCTTCATATTCTTGTTTTCCCTGTTGTAATTCTGTCATCACTTCCCCTACCTTTCAAACTCTAGTTTTTCTCTTTGTAATTACTCTTTTTTCACCTCATCTTTTTTCTCTTCTCTCCAATTCCTCTCGTGGTGGTGGCAATCACTGAAATAAGAACGGTCTAATGATGATTAAGGCCAAATCTCTGAAGTAGCTTTATCCTTCATCTTAAGTAAAGGCCAAATGATATCCTGCTGTCTCCTCTTTCGGTGAACACCAGTGCTTATATAACAGCGTCATACTGAATGGCTTTGATTGAATCTGAAAAGGCCAAGCTACCACTCCACTTCCTACTGAAAGATCACCCTCTCTCCCTGAGATCAACACTTTTGCGCTGTCTCCCTCTGTCACACCAGAACACACAATTTCTTCCAACGTGCTGCCGGTTCTTCCTGACAGCCTCATAGCACCATTTGCTGATTGGAGCAGTTAAAGGCCCAATCGCTATCATGGGCCACTTGTCTCTGACATTTTAGTTGATTGCATTGTGCAGTCACTGGACACTTTTACTGGAGTAGTTGCAAGTAAAAAAGCATCTTAAGTGTATTTTTTTCTCTCTCGAAACGTTATATTTTTAAACATTTTAAAAATAAATCTGTCCATCCATATAATCGTCTGTCCATTTGCTGATTATACTGTATATGATTGGCTTGAATGCTGTCAAAATGGTAACAGTAGGTCATCCTATATAAGGTTTGCGTGTGTGCATGCGTGCATGAATGCAGATACCTGTGCACGAGCAATTTTTGCATGGGTGTATGTGTGTGATTGAATCTAGCATGCTAGGATACTCAGTAAATGAGGTGTGAAAGTAGCCTGCTCGTACGTAGCGATCAGTCAGACTGGGATGGAGGAAATAGCAGTTGTCTATTAACCATCCTCTGCAGAGCTTATTTCAGTTCAACTAGAGATTCATCAGATATGCTGTTCTCATTCAGTAGTCTGATGCGCTAGCTTGATGTAAAACATTTTTTTGCTTGCATCATTCAAAAAGCATCCAAAACAGTCAGTACAAAAAAATGCTACATTTAAAGCATTTGTAGGCAAATATGTGTGCTAACCTCTGCGTGGGCTGATATTATTCATACCCAGGACACAAGCATTGACACACATGAATACACACAGTCACTGACTGACACAAACGCATCTCTCACCTTCACACTCCGATATTCACTCTAGCACAGCTGTATGAGCTACTCAGACACACCCTCTCAGACCATTTTCATTTTAATGAAGCCTTTGGGAGCCCCTCTACATTAGAGGCCTAATGTAGCATTGTGTGAGGGACCCGGCGACGCATTCTCATAGAAAAGCTATTCTGATGTTCCTCTGAAGGATGAGTCTGGACTTACTGCAGTGAATTAATAATTGTCGTGTAATACGACTTCATACACTCATCATAATGAGGAAGATGCTTAATAATGCAGTATTGGCAATACATTATGTTCCACACAAATCTGATTGCACACAGCACAATAGTGTGCCATTAAAATGCTACTTCTGCACTTAATTTCCCATTTTACTGTGCAATACACAGGTTCCATATGCACTCTGTGGTACAGCAGGCCTCAGTATACCCGCCAGGGAAAATTGTGTGAAATGTTTAATACCATTGGGAGTTGAGTTTCTCTATCTGCTGCTGAACACAGTTCCCACCGCCTGTGTGTTTGTGTGCACCAGTACACACACACAGGGACCCAACGTATTATCCTGGGAACAGCTTGTAGAATCATTTCCTCTCCAGACTCCCCTGGGTGAACCCTGCTAATACTCTAGCGTGGGCTCGTCTGTGAGTGTGTATGAATGCAGCTAGTTGCTACTTATTCTGATTTGGCTTCAGAACATTCACTTGAACCAGACTGTAACCCGTCTGCAGGCTGCCACTCTGGGGAATCTGTCTGTGCGTTGTTGTGATGCAATCACCAAGGTGTCCTTATCCAATACCACCATATCTGAGAAAGAATGTGACATACAGTATACTAATAATGACAAAGAAGAAAGATTTATTCATCTTTTCCCTAATAAGAATTGATGTAAAACCCTTGATTTCAAATGTGTCAGAAATATAAATGTTTGTTTATAAGTTAAACATTTCTTCCCCAACAATTTCAACAGTTTTCTTGCTGTGAGTGGCTCCTCTACACCAAGGTTGATGTTTTGTTTGAAACAATAGTCATTTTTTAAATGAGTACAAGAAAAAGTACGAGACCGTTTCTCCATGTTCTTGAAATTATTGAATGTTTTGTCAACAGGTGTCTTTTGTTCTGAATGTCATTATGAAATATGTTTTGTGCAAGCAATTTTTCATCAGTCATGTCCTTCCTCAATGTAGGATCCAACAGTATTATAATTCTTACACTACCAAAAAGTATAAATGCAGTTGCTGCGAAAAATACATTAATCAATGTGAAAATGTATAGTATATGTAAACATTTGCACACATCTGACATGTTTTGACCGCATTTCATTACATTACATTTAGCTGACGCTTTTATCCAAAGCGAGTTACAATAAATGCGTTCTACCAAGAAGATACAAACTTGAAGAAAACAGAATCATATAAGTA